CCTCTAAAAGAGCTATTTGTCATCACAGATACTTCGATGGCAGCGTTTGTGAACACGTTACGAAGCTCCTTCACTAGTTCCAGGGCAAGCTGTCCAAGTATCAATGCGTGACAAAAAGACCGAAGAGAAGCTCAAACGCGGCACAGAGGTCGCAGAGGCCAAATGCGAAGCAGAGAAGGAAGCCAGCGGAGAGGTGAATCTCCCAAGCGCACTATTTAGGTAGCGGATGAGGAAGGTAAGACTGTCATGGAGGTGCCAGAGGGACTTCCAGGCAACAACTTGATGAGTTCTACAAAGAGACTACGCAGTGAAGAAGAGGTTCCCTTAGGACTTGGAGCTTGGTAACATGCTGCGATGAAATCCTCTGTTGAGTGTCCAACCATGTGCCTGGCAACTTCCAACTAATGACCAGTGCTGCAGCATTTGCAGGTCTGCAATTCACTTTCAAGCGTCATTGCTAGGCTGCTAGGTGGCCGTCGTTCAAATGCCGGCCAAGGGGTATTTTGACGTTTTACGCTTGACCACATCCAGCTTCACGACTGGCACACCCAGCGTGCTACGTCCACTGGCTGGCAAGTAACAGCCAAGAATTTATCAAAGCTAACCGACCTGGAAACAGAGTTCCACAATTGATAGCCTGAACACATTCTTGAAGCTTTGGGCATACACAACGCATACTTGTGGAACAGCAGCACTACTTGACTGAAACTAGGCAACGCAGTTTGTAGCCGCGAGCCATGTTTGGTGGGAAGAAGCTAAAAGACTTGACAGAAGAGGACTGCCTCAGTCAGGGATATATAAATCACTTTGACTGCGTGTGGTGCGTTCTGAACATGAAGGGTGCACGAATTAAGGATATACGAAAATACGCAGCATCGTTGGTTACTGCCCACGGCGGAGGCCAAGTGATTTGAGTGGTTGAAATGGAAAGACGCAAGCTTGATTCGAGGGACGAAGCGGTTGGTAGGAGTCTAGCTGTGTTGCAGGCACTGCTACAGCAGACGAGCCGATGGCCCAACAGTTAGCTTCAATCCACTGGGCTGAACAGACAAAAATTCTTGAGGCCAGCTGCGAGGAGCTCAGTGAAGATCCGCTGAACAGCGCCGGACGTCAACTCTTTTGCTTCACAATAAACATCAACCAATTTACTGACTGTACCATGTTTGTTGGAAGGCTGAAGTGACCCAAAGGCAACAACTTGCCCAGGCGGCTGTCTATGCTTTTCACGGACAGCTACAGCACATTATGTATCGAAGTCTGAATCTACATATGTATATCACGAAAGCCAGCCGATAGGCTAGGCTTGAGGTAGGGAGCGAACGAAGTGAGTTAAAGGGGGTGTGGGGGGGTGGTTGCGAGGTGCCCAATCTCGGAGAGGCGAACCCAGAGCCTGGTGCAGGAGAGCGAAAAAAGGAGGTGGCCCGCAGGTAGTGAAAAATGAGTGGTTTTAGGGGTGTTGTGATGCAAGTGATGTAGTTGACTGCGAAGAGTGCATCATCAGCACCATGAGGGGCTCAGGAGGCCATGGAAAGAGAACAGTTGTGGCCAAGCTTAGCGTTGCTGCCGCACTGAAGAGGGCACCCCCTATGCGGTGGGAGTTCACGTGGATTGGGG